ATTAATATTATGGGAAACTGCTGGCAATGTGCAGGCCTTTCACTACTTATGCCTGGTAATGGTACGAGCCTTATGTATCCATTGAAGAATAGTTAACATTAGTAGGAAAACTGCTAACTATGTGCAGGCCTTTCACTAGTTATTACTGGTAAGTGACACGACGGCCTTCTGCCGCCTGTTGTGACAAAAAGTCGACTTACCAATTGCAGACTTCAACCAAAGGCCACAACTTGAAGTAACGTATATACGTTTAAAGGCCGTTAACTTGCCAAAACAAAATGTTTGTTGGGGCATTTGAAAGAGCTGCAAATCTTAATCAATTACGGAAAAAAATATCCAATGATATTAAAACTTTATGACAAATCCTATCGGAAATATAATAAATGTTTATTTGGTTACCATTCCAAAATCCTTTTTATTTTATTTTGTTTGCCAGAAACACACAATCCCTCAAAAACGCACATCAACAAATCGCCTCTTATTTGGTTACCAATTCAAAAGTCCGATTTAAAATATTTTATTTCAAGCATAAATGCAAAAAAAGCGCATCAACAAATAACCTATTATTTCGCTAAATACGTATAAGTTTTACTTTGAGTGCGGTAATGTATTTTTAGATAAATTAGATAGAATACAAATTAAAAATAAAATTTTCTGAATCAAAAATGTTTACATTCTGCCATCTATGTACATTTATAAGAATGTGTATAAGGTATTTAAAAACCATTAAATTATTTCTGTAATAAATTTAAAAATCGAAAAACATTTAACTTTGACTTCTATCTCATAGATGGCAAACCTATAAACTGCTAAATTTTTAAACAATAAATATTTCAATAGATACAGTAAAACAACTAAATTGTTTATAAAATTTTAAAAATAAATATTGTTGATAAATAAGTCTCATACAGTGATCGAATTTTAATCAAAAGAGTAAAATAATTTATTAAACACATTATTAAAGGAACTTCTGACATCTATACAACTAAATGTAATATCTATATCAAAAAGGAACTCTACCTTTAAGTTCGCGATATATCAATAAGTTTACCTTCAGCTATTAAGCTGTAGATGGCGCGATTACTAATTATTTCTTTTCATTTTTAGTCCAATTTAAGGAGGTCCTTTCGCCACCAATGTTAAATAAAAAATATTAGATTATGACTAAAATTAATTTTTTTCTAACAGTAGATGTCCTTATTTATCTAATAGTGAACTTTTAACTATACCTTACCGTGCAAATTTTTGAGAATTTTTTTTTTTTAAATGTGTGTTTGTACAGTGTCTTATGAGAAAGTAAGACTTCAACAACAATTTTCGAATTATAATTAATTTTACTATTATTTATTGATTAGATGGAGTAGAAAAAAACTAAAAATAAGGTTTTTGAAATATTTAGGTTTTGTTTTTTACAATAAAATATATAGGTTACCGTGGAATTTATTGAGAAATTATTATTAAAAAATCACAAAAAAATTTCAACTAGGTTACTTGAAAATTTTTTGTGATTTTTTAATATTAATTTCTCAATAAGTTCCACGGTTTACTATATATATTTTATTGTATAAAACAAAATCTAAATATTTCAAAAACCTTATTTTTAGTTTTTTTCTACTCCATCTAATCAATAAATAATAGTATAATTCGAGAATTGTTGTTAAGGACTTACTTTCTCGTGAGGCATTGTACAAATACTCACATTTAAAAAAAAAAAACTCAAAAATTTGCAAGGTAAGATATAGTTAAAAGTTCAGTATTGGATAAATAAGGACTTCAACTATTAGAAAAAAATTAATTTTAGTCATAATCTAATAACTTTTTTTTTAACATTTGAGGCGAGAGATGTGGCGAAAGGACCTCATTAAAATGTATTTTTTAAACTATAGGTAAACAAAACTAATTTCAATCATACGGGGTCCGATCAAAACATGTACTTTACAAGTATTTATTTAAAGGGAAGTAAAAGGCTCAAAGTCTGTCGACCACATAAATTTATGAGGTTGGGTTGCAAGCGCTTTCGACCTAAAAGGTCATCATCAGGCAAAAAAAATTTTTTTGTGAGTAGGTAGGTACAATCTGCAATAATAATTGGGATAACAAAACGTTTTTATAGAAATGCCACGTGTCTTACCACTATGTGTCCACAGAAAAAATTAAGTATGTTGAATTAAAAATTTTAAATTGTAAAAAATTGTAAAAAATTTTAAAAATTGGCACATATACTGCCTCCCTCATTCGAGGTTGGATACTGTTCAATCTTGAACCTCGCCTGCCTCCATCTAATGAAGGTGGTTTCGAAAGAGATCAATTTTAAAGTTCCACATGTGTGCTTAAGGCACCATGTGGAAAGTGTTACTTTTGGGGAAATACCGCTACTCCCCCTATCCCCAGTACAAATGGGGTAGACGGAGTCCCGTTCGTGTACACCCTTAAGCCTAAGCTTAAGGGGTATCATTAATTATTAACTTAACTTTTTTTAGAAAAATTCACTTGACACTTTCGTCATCCAACGGTGAAGTTAAATGAGAAAATGGTGGAGAATTTACGACATTTGACAACTGACATATGATGGAAGACACGTAGTTACAATTATAACCAATTTTTGGCAAACTCCCGGTGATCAAACGGTATTACCCGCATCATTTTCGCGACGTGAACCGCTCAAGGGGAAGTGTAATGGCGTCATTCACTGACGTCATTGTTTGCTACCGCCGTGATGAATCTGTTCCCGGCCTCTTGAGGTGGTGAACAAACGGTTGATAGTGACAGTTGACGTTCATAGCATTCTGTAATTGCTGCGTTTGAAAATTACCTCATTTTGCTCTTTTTACTCGAAGTCGTTCTTTTAATACATCTGCGGCTTCTCGATGGGATCTGCTACGTGGTCTTTTAATGCAGAGCTGATAAATCGAGTAAGATCTATTTACTCCGAGTTAAATTGTAGAGCTTTCGGAGTAAATGGAATTTCTGTGACAATTGACAAAGTAGATGTACTTTTCTGAGATGTAGACATCGTTCGTTGTCTCTTGTATTGCAGTTTATTCTTTTTCATATGTGTTTGGTTATTAAAAAAAATATTTATAAAACATGTCAGACAGAAATGAGAACATGGTTTATTTTCTAGTGAAAGCAAAAAAGCGAAAAATACCACAGATAAAAATTTACTTTACTTGGCAACTTGCAACAAAAACCATGAGACGAGAGATCAAATTTGATTTAAAAGAAAGGTTTACGTTTGTTATTTTAATGAAAACCGGATACGGGAAACACAAACAAATCCATAGCCGTTCTTTTATTCCACATAAGCTCGATTTGCTCGATGATCACGTGACTAAAAAATCTACTAGCTCTACTCCGCTCCGTGAGGTACCTTTCAAACGTAGCAAATACCGTTTTGTTTTGGAATTTTTGGTAGCTGCCAGAGTTGCGTTTTATTTTGTGCGTTCATATTTTTATTTTATGTATAATAGTTTTCGTTGAACTGTTTCTAAATTCTATTTGAATTTGTTATTTAAAAGAAAAATTGTCTGTCTTCCTCAATTTTAGATTTTTCAGTTTGTTTATTGTTAAATACCTTTTAAATACACATAACATAACCTCGTTTATCTAAAACGTTGACGATTGACGTAAACCGGTTCATTTTTGCGAAGAATTTTTTAGAAACCGAGACATAGTAGTGGGGGCATTTGACATGTCACGGTTTCTGTGTCACTGTTTATCGAAGAGAGCACGCCAAAAAATGCTTTATGGTTGAGCTAATAATAATAATAATTAAATTTGACATTAGTTAAATTTAATATGTTAAATTAGTTTTGTGACAAATTTTATAGTATCAATTTAAACAATTTGACAGGATGTCCAAGACTTTGGAGAGGCCACAAATAAGTTCTGCTGGTGTTATGAAGTTAGAGTGACATTTGATTTTTTAAAAAAGAAGAATTTTACATTAGACATTAGATTGAGGTTAAGGAAATTTATAATAAATATGAATTTTTTGAAAAAAGGGGCTATTATATATATTATTACAAGTAAAAAGTTGAAGGATTTACAAAGGATTTAAGAAACTTGTGAGGATGACGGGATTCATTGTAGTTGTTGAATTGAAAATACTAGAAGGTTAATCTGGAAAAGATAGGCTTATAGGTAGGTTGTAATTGATCATTTAAACAAACCACATCTGGGTTATTAATATGTTGATGAATGTAATACATTTCAAGTAAGTCCAGCTTAATGCCTTTGGGGCATTGGATAAGAAGAGAGGCGTTATCTGGAAAAGTGAAGTTATGTCTATTATAGAGAACATGATTAGCAAATGCGGAATTGGTATCTGAAATATTCGAGGATTTATATCTGTTGATGGTTTTGTAATGTTCTAAAATTCGGGTTTCTGTCTTTCTTCCTGACTGGCCGACGTAGATGGCATTGCCCATTTGTACTGGGGATAGGGGGAGTAGCGGTATACCCCCAAAAGTAACACTTTCCACATGGTGCCTTAAGCACACATGTGGAACTTTAAAATTGATCTCTTTCGAAACCACCTTCATTAGATGGAGGCAGGCGAGGTTCAAGATTGAACAGTATCCAACCTCGAATGAGGGAGGCAGTATGTGCCAATTTTTACAATTTTTTACAATTTTTACAATTTAAAATTTTTAATTCAACATACTTAATTTTTTCTGTGGACACATAGTGGTAAGACACCTAGCATTTCTATAAAAACGTTTTGTTATCCTAATTATTATTGCAGATTGTACCTACCTACCTACTCACTTACAAAAAATGTTTTGCCTTATGATGACCTTTTAGGTCGAAAGCGCTTGCAACCCAACCTAATAAATTTATGTAGTCAACAGACTTTGAGCCTTTTACTTCGCTTTAATCTACTTCGGACCACTTTGAGATATGGATAATATTTAGAATTTTAGTATTTATTTAGTTTTATTATTTTTTTTTAAGGGAACTATATAAAATATTTAAAATCACATCATATAAATACTCACTTAGATAGAAAAGATCCAAACTGGTCAATTCATCGGGGTCTACTTCTTTGATATCTGTAAATTTGGCCCAAGCTGAAAAGAAAAACATTTAGATATTTGAAAAAAATCAGTAATTTTTGGAACAATATATTCAAATGTTTTTAACATAATTCTAAAATAACTTTAAAAATAATATTCCATAAATTTTAACAATGAAAAAATGGGACGATTGCTGCCAAGTCTATGAATACATAAAATATTTTAAGTTTTTACATTGTATGAACTGTTTATAGTTGTGCCTAATATTCGAAATTTACGAAAATATATTATTTAAATTTGTTGCGTTGAAACCATTGGCGCATCCAGAGCTTAAGTCCGGGGTGGGTGATATTTAAGAATGTAATTCTGATAATAAAACATTTTCAGTACCTAGATATAAAGGTTAGGTTTAAAAATTATTTTAGGTAACTCATTACACCCCTGTATATGTGCTCCTGGTTGATCCACATGTGTTAAGTATTTTTCAACATATAAAAACTATGGAAAAGGTAGATTAACAAGGGTAACTTTCAACAAACTTACTTTTTCTTAAAAATCCCATACAACCCACGGGATAAAGCTTCTTTTTTGAATCTAAGAGATCCGGAGTGGAAATATTGAAATTATCCATTTCTATCCTTTCCTCCCGTTGCATGTTTGTCCGTATCTGTAAGAAGAAATAAAATACAAACAATCGAAATTAGTATTGATGCCGCAAGACGAAACAAGAGAGAGACTTCTCCGTTTCGCCGAAAAGGCGCTTATTCTCTCGCTGGAGAGGGTCTTTTTCTCGTGTAGTCTTGTCTCGTTTCTCTCGTGATAAAAATATATCAAATTTAAATTTGGAAAAGATATACTTATGACGAAACATGAAAAAAACTGTAAAATTTCGAAGACAATAACAAATAATTTTTCAAATAATTTGTCTCATCAGTACCCAAATTGGCAATAAAAACACTTAGGGAATTGCCCCAAGCAGCAAGGTGTCGTCATTATGACGTGATTTTTTAGGTTTACTCGGCAGAAACGTCACTATCCCAATTAACGACGTTACTTTGATGTCGTTTTGCAACTTTAATTAGACGTCAGTACAGAGTCGTCATTGTAACGTAATTTTTTAGTATTAATTTATCCGAAATACAATATCCTAATCAGTAACATGTATTTGACGTCGCATTGATGACACAGAATAGACGTCACTTAGAATTCGCCATAATTACTTTATTTTTTTCGTATATTTCTGGCAATGTCATATTGTCAATTGTCATTGTTGTGTGCTGTTTCCTCCATCTTCATGATTCTCGTGAGTAATAGTCGTGACCTTGTGAACGTGGTGCATTTTTTAATTGTACTTTATTTGATAAGATGTTTTAGAAAAAGGTAAAAAATAGTATGTGACAAAATAATAAAGTATATTTAACCGAATTTGGTATTTTACAGATGTATTGCATTGATGAGTTCGAAAAACCGGATGATGACGGTCTGGCGGTTGTGAGGTGAGCAGAAAATGGCTGACGCTGCGTAAAAAACAAGTATTTTATAAATAAATATATAAATAAATATACTATAATATAAGACTGGTGAGTAATGTTATACTTTTATTTTTTGATTATGAGTTCTTTCAGGGTATTTAAAAATAAAAGATTTGTAGGGGGTCACTTGATTTAGATACCTTTTATCATCTCACAGAATATATGATGTTATTTTTATTAACTTTTATTATAAACTCAGACTATATGTATACCTCTGAGAAGAAGTTTTTACAACTAGATATACAATTTACTTTCTATGTTTAAGAATTTTCAGTGGTCTGTATTTTAATAGTTCTTTCATTTTAGATAATAATGATGTGATGTACCAAATTAAAAAAAAGTCAAAGTTACCTCAGATCTACATTCCAAGGCTGATAAAGTACCTACTAAAAGAAAACAGGTGCTAACTAGAAAGCTGTCATTCGATGATACTGAAGATGATGAAATCGTAAAGCATGCTTGTCCCCAATTAAAATCAAATCTACAATTTTAGGTATATTGTATCAGTTCCTCTAATATTCTTTTGTCATTTTATTCCTTTTGGTTTCTTGCTCATGACTTTTTTATTTACCAGTGTAATTTATTTTTTATAATATATTTTTCATGTGTTTTTTGATTAAATAAATAACTTTCATCTGCTTAAGTATTTTTAATAATTCCATCCAACCTTGGGACACCCAATATAGACGTCGCTTTGACGTTAGGTAGATCCGTAATAATGACGTCAATTTGCCTAGCCTAGAACACCCGATATACACGTTACTTTAACGTAATATCGATTCGTCAAAATGACGATATGGAATGACGTCATTTCGCTGTGACATTCTCACGTTACCATAACGTTATTTTCACGTCATCAAATGACGTAAGGCACACCAAAAAATTATGTTATAATGACGGCATGATGTTGCATAGGCTGGGTATCTCTCTGTCTGTTTGTCTGCCGGTCACAATCGTTTTGACATAAACAATTAAAATTTAAAGTAATCAGTGGCGTTAACTAAAAATGTAAATACCTACTTTGTCTGGGAAGTCAGTTGAAGGGGGGGTTCATTTAGAAGTTAATAAAAATATATTGTACGTACGTTTGTTTTACTTTCTCTTTGACAGTTTTTTGAAAAAAAAAAAACCACCTAGAAATTGACGTCTTTCCAATTTATATCTAAAAGTAACCTCAGAGAAATTTTACTAAATGGAAATTATTACGATTCTGTCCGTTGTAATGGTTATTACATGATCGTTGCATAATATATATATACTATTATAGACTCATTTTTGCCAGTGTTTCATTAAAAATATTGATACATTTATTACTGATTTTTATACAAACTTGGATTTATTTTTTTGTTCTTTCCAGATAGAAGATCTTAGCCGATTAGGAAGCAGCAGTTATAAAGAATGAGTGCGCCGATTCATGAAAAAGTTTATAAATGATTCAGTTCAAAACTGTACAGTTTGCAAGGTTTCAAAAACTTCCTCCATAGGGCTAATTATAGGTATATTACATTAAATAATCTAGAGATATTATTGTTTCGTCAGTAGTTAATTTAGTTTTGTTTTTGTTTATTTCTATAAAATATAAATATTATTTTATACATACGAATTATATTAAAATTTAATATATTTTTATGTTTTAAATGATGTTTTAGTATGCAAAGTAAACTACAGGTAATTTCTATTTTTAAAGGTGAAACTATATTATATCATTTTTGAAAATCTATTTAAGAAGTTATTATATTATTTATTCTATCACAATGGTTGTTTTTTAGTTCCGTTGAGACAGGACCGGTTTTGTAAATTTTTTCGTACTTGTCACATTTTACGATAAGTTTTAAATTATCAGAAGCTATTCTTTTCATCGTTATTTGAGTTTTATTATGTAATCGAGTGCTATTATGTGTGTGTGATAATTTTCCGATAAATTTGTGGTGCAAATATTATTTTTTTTTGTTTTCAGAATTGTCTGCTTTTTGGATCTTCTACTCACGTTCCGTAGGCTTTTTTTGTATATTTAGATTGCAAATAAGTTTTGAAAACTTTTTTGTTTTTTTCCGCATGTCCGTAGGGCTCTCCCTCCCCTGCCCCCTACACGCAACTCATTGCTAAAAGAGCTTTTCTTTCCTCCCTCTGTTTAGGTTACCCCGCTTTTATACGGTTTATTTTATTTTAGAGTGGTTTCATATTAATTTATAAGTTTATTTCGCCTTCAGTTAAGAAACTCTTTTTAATTTAAAAAAAAACATAATCCAATATAAGTATAAACTATAATATTTACATATCATAATTATGTGCAAGTCTCCTCAAATATTCTAAAATATTTGCTTCGTCATTGAATCCTCGTACAATCCTTGAGATTCGCTCATCCGCGTTCCTGTATTTTTTTCAATTTCAAAGGTAAACATTACCAGTCACTAACTGTTCATAGTGAACATATCTACCACTTTGCACTTTAGGGAGACCGTCGATGAATTTCCATATTGTTGAATGGTCAAATCCTAGCTCCATTTAAAGCCTTCTTTGCTGCTATGTGTAGCTTATGCATAATTATTTGTTTAAAATCCTATATGACAGGTAAACACTAAATGCCAAAACAAGGTATTTAGGTCTCATATCGGTATATTTGTTTCATATGTTTCTTTAAAGTAGTTAAGATTTATAAAAATCCAAAATACCTATCCAAAAGAAAACTATTATTAAGACATCAGATTTATCACGAAAAAAATAAGAAATTAAAACTCAGATAGGGAATTTTTTTAATTAGTAAATAATATTGACAGAAGCTCTTTCTCAAATTGAACATGACAGTAAATTTTAATTACTGATGCAAAAAAAAATCGACGGCGAAACGGCGACGGCGAACTGGCTCAACGGCGAAACGGCGACGGCGAAACGGCGATGGTGAAACGGCGACGGCGAAACGTCCCATCCCCTCTTTTTAATTAGGATATTTGAACTAGGATTTCGTATTTATAAAATTTTGTCTTTATCATTACGACTGTAAAAAGAATTTTGATATGAGAAGGGTTTCGAATCGAATTCCAATGGGATAATTTTTATCTGATTATTGGACACGAAAAGTACGATTCTCCGCGAACAGAGACATTGGGTTCTAGTGTTCTATTTATTAGACAACTTTCTATAAAAAAATTAAATTAACAAATTGCGAAGCTACTTGAGTGAGGTAGGTCACATTATAATTTTCGAACATATTGTTTCCCTACAGCCTACAGGAAATGTATTAATAAAAAAAGTGTAATGTCATCCATCACCCTACAGTGTGCTGCTATCGTCACAAGTAAAATCACGAGAAAAAAAAGAAGATTGTACAAAAAGGTTCTAGAAGGTTCAAGCGAGCTATATATGTCTATGATCCTTACATCATAGTTTCAATTTTATGATAGACGTTATACGTTAATGTTATCAGTTGTATAGTTGAATTGGTAAAGTTGAGTTGAACTAAATTGAGTTACCAAAAACCGGCAAAACAATATGTTCTTCCTAGTAAACAGATATTATTTAGAGTGGTTTGCAAGTGATTGCTAATTATTAATACCCTAGTTTCACCTCTAATCAACATAGCTAAATCGGTAGCATACAGTCGTGCCCTGACTGGACAGATACTTTTCTGAATTAATTTATTTAAATTAGGATTCATTACAAAATGATAATTTCTGAAATATTTTGAAGATATTCTAATCCCACGCTAAAATTAGACTTCATCAAAAAATTGTGACTTAAAGGTAAAAATGTGTCAAATTTAAGTTTCTCATATGTTTATTTTATGACCATAATTATACTGGGTCTTTTTAAGTTATTGTATAAACTAATCTGTTCTATAAATGACTTCATTTAAACAATAAATAAAGTACACTCCGGATAACATGCATTCCGCCTGTTATATTTTAATTTTCGTAAACTAGTTTAGAGTGTAAATAACGAGAAAAACTTACGGAGTTGTTGAAAATATAATGCATTAGTTATTTTTAATGAGCTGTTGACAATCGCTTCTCGTAAAGTACAGTAAAATTTAAAATAAACTCTTTTGTTTAGGATGAACCAAACTGTTTGTTTGAAAATGTAATTCGGAAGAATAATAGGTGCCTAACTATTTACTACTACTATGTTAAAAATAAGATTTTCGAGATGCATCGTATTTTATTAAAAAAAAAAATACAAAAATAGTGAGACGGTTTATGTAATCTGTACGGCAGCGTAGAAGGGCCACATTTTTTATTTTTTTTTTTATTTCTAAAATTCCGTATTCGAACACGGAATTCCTTGTTTAAACACGGAATTCCGTATTCAAACACGGAATTCCTTGTTTGAACACGGAAATATAAAATTCCGTTAAGGAATTCCTTATTCGAATACGGAATTTTATTTTCGAACTATAAATTTAAATGGTGTATTTACAGGTTTTTCTTGGGTGACATGGGGATCTTGGGAGGGATGGGTAAATACGGATTCATTGAAAATCCTCATATTTTTACTTTTGCCGTATTTTTAAGTAGTACCAAAAGTCTCGCCCTCTTTGGTCCCTGCATAATATTTTTCCTTTAATTTTAATTCCAGGTCATTTTTATTTCTTAGGTTCTAGACCCTGAGGCCTAAATTTCATTTAAATCGGATCAAAATAATGCCCTGTATAGCGTTTAAGTTTACCCTCCTTGATTCTCAAGAAAAAAGTGAAGAAATGGGGGACCGGTTAAGAATTTTTTTGCTTGTGTTTCTATTAAATGGTACTATTAAAAATGATGGGGCTATCTAAAAAAAACTGCTGATGACGTCATATTTTGAAAAATGATGACACGTCATAAAAAATGTACTTATACCAAAATATGCGCATCTAAAAAACAAAATCCACTTCTGAATGGAAATTGACAAATAATTATGTCCGTCGTGTATGGAAACCTTCCCCCACCCCGAATTTCCCAAGTCATCCTGGAAATATGCCATTCAAAAATATAGCTCGAATAAAGAATTCCGTATTGAACACGGAATTACTAATTTCCGTGTTTGAATATGAAATTCCCTGTAGGAAGCGGGAAATCTGTAATTCCTTGTTCAAACACGGAAATTCCTTGTTCAAACACGGAATGCCGTATTCAAACACAGAATTCCATATTCACAAGCTAAATTCCGTACTCAAACACGGAATTCCTTGTTTGTACACGTAATTCTTTGTTTGAACACGGAAATTCCGTGTACGAACAAGGAATTCCGTGTTCGAACACGGAATTTTAAAATAAAAATAAAATAAAAAATGTGACCCTTCTACGCTGCCGTAAATCTGCGATGTTTTCATGAGAGTTTTTCGGTGGTTTATCAAATATACATATAAAAAACAAAAAGATGGGTGTCATCCACAAAGTTTTGTGTTGCTTATGCGTCTCAATGTTTTCAAATTACAACTGTGTCTGTAACTGTGGTAAAAAGCGAAAGAAGTTCACCTTACTAATGTCACAGACCATACGTCATAGTTATAATATTGCCATATGAGCCTTATCCTTCCATCTTACTAAAAATGCTAGAAAGATTGACAGATGGGTATATCAGGGAAGAAATATTAGAACTAAATCCGTTTCATCCCAACCAATATACCATGTATGTGAGTTTTTTAGATGACTATTCCACGTCAGCTTTTGGTTAAATATGACTCCGAGGTATTTGGCTTCTGCGACAAATGGAACAACTGTGTTCTTTAGTACTAATGATCTGAAATATTTTTTTGTATAACATACATCGTTGTTTTTTGTACTTAGTTGTTTATCGCTTATAATCCGAGAGGGTCTTACAATGAGACGGGTTTTAACAGGTCCCTTCTCCTCTCCGAAGTCTAATGTGGCTTAAAAAAGGTGCTCATCTCTCCAAAGTTCAATGATGGGTAAGTGTTATAATTACATTTTTTTTACATTTACGTTTTTCCAAATGGAGAGACATTTTCTCTTGAAAAAAGACTTTCGACGAAAACTTCTCGTTTCTCTCGAGCTCTCTCGAGCATATTTACGATGTTTTTAAAACGTTCTTGAGAAATCATTCCAGAAACGTTTCTTTAGAAACATCGCAGATACGTACTATTTATGTCAGAAACATAGAAACATACATAGAACTTAAATGGGATGTTTCTGGCAGATCGGTTATATTAGGGTAGGTACAAAAAAATCTGACACATAAATTGTGTCCCAAAAAGTTTTATACAAAAAGAAAAAATGTATCTTACATTTCACAAAAAAAAAAAATTGTAAAGGTAATCACTTTGAAATCCATAAGCACCAACTTTGATGAAAATTCAAAAATGTGTAATACACACTAAAACGACTAAACCGACAATTCCGGAAGCAGAAGCGGATGATTAAAACGCACCTGGGGGCCTATTCTCCAGTTGAGAGAATGATCATTTCATGCGAACTGGACAGCCGTTCTCCTAAAAGGTGTGTGAGTAGTATTCTTGAATTGAAGTGAATGATCACTTCGCATGAAAATCTTCTCTTAGTCAAAACTAGTAGAAGAGCATCATTTCGGGAGAACATTGGGAGAACTGTCATTGTCGTGCGCTATCAAAACGTCACTTTTTTTAATTAAAATGGATTTGGACGAAGCTTTTATTTATATTCATATTTTGAATGATCTAGCTAAAGCGGAAAAAGATGAAAATCAACCAAATAGTATTTTTTTTAAGAAAAGAGGATCTTTTTGACTTTAGTGACCGAATATTCGTAAAAAATGAATATCGTTAAAAATGTGGTAGAAACCTGAAATGTCAAGTGCTAACTGTGCCAGTCGAATAACAATAAAGATGCGCTACACCAATGTCGAACTCTAGTTCGAGCTTGCTGTGTGCACTGCTAGATATAAACTTGAATTATAAAAATGCTGCCCAAAATCAATTCAGAATTAAAGGCGCTTTGTCATCGAGTAAGAGCATTTTAGTCGAATTCGCTATAACTAAACCTATAGCACGGGATTTGATAGAAAATGATGGAAAATATAAATCTGTTATTACAATTGTCAAAAAAATAATAAAAAATGCCTTCTAAAATAGTTCTAACCACATACTTTGATTTTCTTTTACTATACGGAGAATGGTCGCACTGCGCAGCTTTCTGAGTGCCTTTTAAAAGGAGATAGAAAACGTCGCCATTTTGAACCCTTATTACGTGTTGCCTACATCTTGGCGCAATATTTTTAATAGGTGCGCTTTAATCATCCGCTTCTGCTTTGGAATTGTCGGTTTTCTTGTTTTAATCTGACAGGTTAAAACGACTAAACCGACAATTCCGGAAGCAGAAGAGGATGATTAAAACGCACCTGATATTTTGCTTGCTGCTGTCAGTGTCAGTGAATATTATTTTTGAAGTCACAGTTTATTGCTAAAGAATCAGTTAGCTCACTCGGATCAGTTGAAAGTTCCAAAATAACATCCACTCCAGGGATACAAATTCAGGATACGCAGAAGACTGCTGTTTTATTATAGGCGGTTGTCATATATTGTATTATCCGAGTTGCGCAGTGTATAAACTGAAACATTGAGATCAAAAGTGCCGACGAAGAGTGAGCGATCTGATTCTTTAGCTATAAACTGTGGCATAGGAATCAAAATGGCCGCGCCCTATGTTGGGCGTGTCGGGCCTCTCTCTTGCACCGTGTAACAACCGGCATGCCTAAAGACCATTTGCAACTACTGGTAGGTCTTTAGCTCCTGTTGTCATTATACTATTAAGGGATAAAGGCAGCACCTGTCACCAGCCCTAGGGTCCTGGAGTCCTGAAGGAACATCCATTCGCCAGTGGCAAAATAAAATAAAAAAAAATAATAAAAATACAAAAAAACATCCCTTAATAGCATATGTCGAGCGGTTTTGGCAACTGACTTAAGACTCTCAAGTCCTTAAGGGTAGGAACGCCGAGGCTTAACATGCTCGGAATATTTCTTACCGGTTTTCGGAAAGAGGTGAGAATAAAATAGGTTAATAAACAATAACATGTATATTTAAATATAAGTAAAAAATGATTAACAATTTCAATAAATCAAAACAATCTTTATTTTTGAAATAAGACAAGCAAAAATTACTACCCACAATTGTAAATCTTTATTATGATAAACCATTTTAATATAATATAATCTGTAATAAAACCCTTAAATCTGATAAATATTTAATAAATAAACTTGGGACGAAAATGAAAGAATTGGCATTTGAAGAAGACTAATGAATTGTTTTAAAATACATAACCCAAACAAGAGATTTAAACATGTTAAAATAAAATAGATATTACCTTTGAAAACAAAAAAAACTACATACACACTTTACTATATACAGTAGATATTAATAATTACTAAGTTACATTTTTGGGCATAGGTTTAGCCCAACGGCCGCCCCTTGAGTCTTTTTGGTCAACGATTGACTCTCTATTTATATCAACTTTAACGCGATTATTTTACAAGAAACTCGACTTATTTATTTTTAATGATTATTCGCACGATTTGTCCTTTAATTTACTAGTACAATGAACTATTTCTAATTGTTTGGTTTTAATAAGTATGTTGTGTTAATTTAAAAGTAATTAAAAATATTAGATATTTTTGGGATTTTTGTTAAATTCTTTATATTTTAAAAATAATAATGCCAATTATTACAACCGTATAGTAATTAAAGTATGTGGTTTGTGTATTCACTTATGTCAAAACTGCGACTAGATCTCCACTTCAAAATTTGACAGTTATCTTTGTTATAATTTTTCATTATGGTTCGTTTTAACTATATTTCTGCCGATTTAATCGATTATTTTTTATTTCATGATGTAATCCATCTGTATGTAACTCGATAATTAAAAATTCTCGAAATTCATTTTAATGCCTAAAAACCACCACTCGACCTACCGTCTTGTGGTGTTTTAGGCAATACATCTTATAAAATCGAGAATTTTCAATTGCCTGGTTTTATAATATATGATAACAATACCAAAATATTTCACGAGGAAGTAAAAGCATTTTCATAAATGTCGCCTGTCTTTATTCGGTAATTTCATTTACATAAAATAATAACTCTTATATACACAAGTTTGTCTACGTTAATTACGTCACTTTTTAAGCCATGGGTAACGATTAATCTTATCAGAAATATTGTTAGCCACGTAATCGGCTATCGACCGTGCGATCGGATCGTAAATGGCGATCTTTCTCGGAGATGTCGCACCCTTCGTCGCTACGTAGTCACCAAACGCCATGTTCACGTTGTCCTCCTTCGCCTCCTTTTTTTTCATCGTTACTTTCGCGCTACTTGACTTCCCTATCACCACAGCTGTTTTCAAAGATTTCTCGATCATTTGCTGCAGCGGAGCCGTTACGGATGTCCGCCTTTGCGATTGGTCTGATTTTGGTAACGGAGGAAGTTTAGCTGGTGATTCTTTAATTTGCACAACTTTGCCTTGTTTCTTACTAACAGGTCTATCGAATTTGGATTTATCTCTTTCTCGCGATTTCGTAGAAGGTGACATGACTCGTTCCTTCAATCTGGCATCCTTTTTGTCCTTCGGTTTTTCAATGGTGACCATAGTTTCTTTTTGGTCTCCCCTCGGTGATGCTAAACATTTATCAGGAACTGGTATAAGTTGCGAACTATCTTTATTTAACGTAGCTGAATAGACTTTTCTTCTTAAGCTAGGCGATTTGATATATCTGTAATCGACTTTTTTCTCAACTACTGCTTGTACTGTATTTGGCCTTTCTTTACCCTCGCCAGCACCAGCTCCTTTCAAAATCGTAGTTTCCTGAACAGTAGAAGGTCTACTTTTAGTTAGTTGATACTTCTTTTTGATCTTCCCTTGATTTGTATTAATATTGACTAATTTAACTGTCTGTTCTTCTTTGTTAATCGATTGTCTAGATACTTTGCTTTCGGTAGATTGAATGCTTGGAGTAAAATAATCTTTTTTCTGCGTTTGAGCTGACTGCGGTTTCGGAATTCGCTTCGATAGAGGACTTCTGGATCTTTCTTTATCCAAAGCTTTCGTTAAATTTGCAATTTCGAATATAGTAAGCGATGGCATCGTTTTAGAAGCTCCATCACCATGAACTGAGTTGAGTTGGAGCTTGCGCTTTAAAACATTGTAGACTCCACCAACTTTGCCTAGAGGTTCCTGCATGATGGCTTGGCTGACTTGCTTCGGGTCTATTTGTAATATAGCACTTAACTTACCGTAGAGTTTGTTCTTTTCGTAGGAATCTAAATTCTTTAGAGGGTTTGTGCGAATCATCCTTTTACCTTTTTCTGTTATCCAAGGATGCACCATCAGTTCTTTTATATTGATTCTTTTGCTAGCATCGGCTATTAATAATCGACTCATCAAGGTGCGGAAGTCCGGAGAGAACGATGAGAGAGCTCTTCGATGAGCAGTACTTAAACCTTTATTAATTTGAGCTACTAGTTGTTTTCTGCGTTCTTGAGAGGGTAACTGTTGACAGCAACTTGTGACAAATGGTAGTTTACCAAGTACCATACCATATAGAATAATACCAAGACTCCAGAGGTCTACTTCGGCACCGTATTGTTTACCAGTTACGAAAAGTTCTGGGGCTGCATACTCTGGCGATCCGCAGTGGGTTTTTAGTGGAGAATCTGGCGTCCAAATATTGCTTAGACCAAAATCGACAATTTTTATTTGGGTTTGTACACTGTTTAACATAACATTGTCCATTTTTAAATCACGATGAACCACTCCTAAGCTATGCATGTGTGATAGAGCTGAAACGAATTGTCTCGCGTAGACTTTGGTGAGCTTTTCTTCTAATCGACCTTTAGCTTGTTTTTTAACGAACGAACACAAATCTCCTCCATTTGCTAGTTCTGTTACGAGATAATAAACATTATCAGCTCTTTGCATGGTTTGGAACAAGCTTACAATACATGGATGGTTCAGTTTGGCCATTATCTTAGCCTCTCGGTACAGGTTCTTGATAACATATTCCTCTTTAATATGGTTAACATCCATGATCTTGATCGCCACCCTGACATTGAGAATTGTATGTACTGCCTCTTCGACTCTGGCAAAGTTTCCTTTCCCTAAGGTAATCCCGGTAAAAAGGTAATTTCCAATGGAGAAAACTTTCTTACGACGTACTTCTTGAGTCATTACTATAGCAATGTAAATTTATTGTAGATTTTTACGTTGACTAAGAAAAAAAGGTAACAAAAACGTACATGTTGTATATACAAAACACTTAAGGGAAGGAAATAATAAATTCTAGCCGCGTGTGCTTTTCAAAATTGTCAAACTAAAATTAAGACAGCACGACAAGATAACCTAAAAATTTTTGGCAACAAGGTGACTCCTTGATTATGAAATAATTATGTATTATTAAAAGTCTAAATTGAAATTAATTTGTAATTCTTTGATGCTCATCAGTTTAAAGAGGGAAATAGAAGATACTGTTGAATTGTTTGGCAAAATCTTCGTCTGTGCGGTATATTGGACTAAACTTCCTACAAAAAAATATTTTTTAGGTATTATGACAGGTATTGTCAAATAAAATACTCTGATGCTTGCAGCAGAACTATGGAAACATTTAAAACTACAATGTATAGGGTGAAAGTGAAAATATTATAAAAAAATTTCTTATCATTGTCGTTCTGCTGTAAGATCACTAGGTGGTGTCGTACTTTGCTATGCCACATTTTTAAAATCAACTTAAATTAAGATTATTTTTTTGAATGGCCATTTGGCCTGTAAATTGTCGATATTATGTTTGCAGTTGTTTCGTTTCTGAGATACAAGGCGTTAAACTTCAAAAAACCGATTTCGTTGAAATTTTGTACAAGTAATAAGAGGCTAAATTGAAATTATTGAGTCCAGTGGCGTCTCAGTGGGCACTACAGTCAATATTATTGAGAAAAAAATACGCCACAGTTATAAATTCCAAAATGGAACTTTTATTTTTAAAAATTTTATTAAGTATAAAATACACTTAAATGGATATCTGTACTAAAGCTACTTCAATTAACGGCTTAAAATAACAAATAATTATAGACAAATAACACACAAGTACAAATAACAACAATAATAAGGTTCTACTCCTATTTATAAAGTAAAACTGATTATTAATCAAAGATAATATATAAAAGAGTCTATTATATTCTCAATATATAACTACACTTACTTTTTTGTAGTTTCTGTATATTTTTTTTTTTTTTTTTTTTTTTTTTTCAAGATAACGGAACTAAAAATGCAATATTGCTCTTAGCGAAACATGGCTGAAGCCGAATGTTAAATTATGTGAACTCTTTTCCGATAACTATAAAGTTTTTTTGCAGAGATCGAAAACTCGATCAGCTAGACATCACGCTTGGATGAGGTGTATTAATCGCTATAGATATGTATATAAATTCCGAAATTGTTAATACTTCTCAATTTGAAGAAATTTTTTTTGTGCCTAGGATAACATCTAGACATAATATTACATTTCTAAGTAACCGAGCTCAAATTTGTTATCAAAAGCGCCAATTACCTTAATGTGTAGTAATGCAAACAAACTATTAGATGTGAGTTAAAATACAAATCAAGAGCTTATCTTTGAATTCATATAAATTTTTCTACTTTTTACTTTTACTTTTATTGTAATTTATTTACTTATCTTATGTATTTTCTTAGTTTAATTTTATATTGTTAAATTTGCTTTGTAAATGGGTAACTGTTGGGCAATAAATGCTTTTATTATTTGTACTTTGAAATCATCAACGTATATTGTAAATAAATCATTAGTTTATGAAGTCTTCGCGTCGAGATTAAAAGTGGCAGATCAAGCTTTTTTTTTTAAAAATGGAGATCCGTTATTTGTGGAAAATTATAGTCCAATTAGTTTATTTTCAAGTTTTTCAAAGTCTAGAAAATTGGTTTCATTTTTGAATTCAAACATCATTGTAAAAACTAACAAGGATTTCAAAAAACAAAATCTACTGCCACTGCCATCTTCGGTTTTGTAAGGAAGATACTCGATGCTCTCGGTGAAGGTAAACATGTAACAGGAGTGTTTTTAGATCTTTTAAAAGCATTTGACTGTGTGCAACACATTACTTAATGAAATTAAAAAATGATTATAAAGTTATTTGACTAATCGTCTCCAAAACATAAATATTACTACAAATCATGTTTCGGATTCCAAAGAAATTGTAATAGGAGTCCCGCAAGGCAGTGCACTTGGACTAATTTTGTTTCTATTGTAAATATATTTGGCCAGCTTTGTAAAGATGACCCCAATATACGGTTAACAAGCTATGTGGGATTGCTGTATTCCACAAAATCGAAGAATGCAGACTATCCTAATTCTATGGATAACAAATCTTTAAAAAGATATTTTTCTTAGTATTTCGGAGAATACGTCAAACCGCGTGTAATTTAGATTTAAAACTGATTTGACCGATAAGTAAACACTCGTATATCTCCTTTCAATATGTCATTAAGTATGTCAATTTGGAGAATATATCAAACGTAAATTAAATAAAGAAAAGTTGAATCTATTTATTTTCATAAATGAAAACTGATGAAGTTTTATTTATAGAACCCATATATACTTGAAAATAGAAACAGTTCCATTTAGTTTACCAATATTAATTTTCTTTAATACGTATGGTTGATTACATATTTGGAATGCATTATACAGGGTGAATAACTAAACAAAAATTTCTATTGGTAATTGAATTGTATTGTTTTTATATTTATTTTTAACAGTTATATATCAATTTAATAAATCCTAAGAGGAATATAAACGATGACCAACATTTAGTCCGCTGTAAGAGCTGCAAAGTTTAGAGAAAGATAAACCGAGGATTTTTAATAAAATAATTTATACTTTACGTCAGTATTGTACTACGCTCACGTCGGCATTTTAGATAAGGTATAGCTGATATACATGGTCGACAGGTGAATTTTATTTATTAAAAGAAAAAATGTTTGTAGCTGTACCATTTGCGCTGATGTTATGAAAATTATTAATTACATGAAGGTTTTCTGTACATTTGTCATAAAAACTATTTAAGATTGGGGGATTTCAATTAATTTGTAATAATGAGAGATTTAGGTTAAATTTTTATTTATTAATCACTTTCTATACACTTCAAATCAATCAAAAATACTTTTTTCTACACCCGTATTATAATAATGCACTTATATGCCCATAATCCGTTTCATAATGATACCCATTATGATACAGATTTTTCATTATGATACAGATTTTTAATCAATAGAAACCTACAATTTTTCAATCAAGCATGATGTTTGACGTTTGTCCTAAATTCCTATGTAATTGTTTTAGTTGTCAAAACGTATTAAATTTTCGTAGATAGCTAAACTTCGATAATTATAATATTAAAATGTCTGATATCAGCGATATAGAACACTCCTCCACACATATAGGAGAAAGGAGAAAATGCAGTACAAAATATTTTGCCCCAAAAATCTGTGGTAATACCAGTACCCAAGGTAATACCATTAATTACAATTTTGTAGAATTTTTTATAGAAATACGAGTAATTACTGTTATTGTGTTCAATACCAATATAAATAAAATATTTATAGGTCTTGATTATTTATCGGGTGTAGAAAAAATAGCGTATGCAACTCTCATGTAATGGTTATTAAAACACTCGCATAAACCATACGAAACTCGCCTTTGGCTCGTTTCGTATCCCGGTTAATGCTCGTGTATTAATAACCATCATTACATGATCGTTGCATAATATACTATTATTTAACATAGTAAATGTTTATCTACATCAGCATTTTTATATTAGGCCCTGACGTCTTCCCTTCCTCTTGCTGGTGCGCTAGATGAGTATGGCGTCGTCTTTGCTCCCAATCGCGAAAAAATGCAGTCTGTTTATTGCTGATAATATCTTAAAGTCCGTCAGATAGTGACAGGTTTAGGTGCCTCATTTTCGCATACAAGCCTCGAAGAGGGTTGAAAAGTACATAGATTTTAAGTAGAATGATAGGAAATTTACGAGTGGCTGCTGGGGAAAATGGACATGGACATGGAAAATTCGATTTACACTAACAAAAACGAAAGGTTACTTGTTGCCCATTTTTCCACGTAAGCCGTTTTCACTATATGAATAATTAATAGAACTAGGCTTCGAAAAACCAAAGGCTTTAATGTTGCAAATGGCTAAAGGATTGAAATGAGGGCGTAATCTTCTAAGGAAAAATCGATATTTTGCCCTATTTTTCCACACAAGCCCATCGAATGTAATAAAACGTACGTCGTCACTAATCCGAAAAACATATTTTCTTGAATAACCCGAAAATATAAGTGCATTTTGATATTCAAAAATTTTTCTGATAAAGAAAATCGAATTTTTCATGTGCCAGTCGTAAATTTTCTTTTATTCTACTCAACATCGATGTACTTTTTAACCCTCTTCGAGACTTGTATGCGAAAATGGGGCACCTAAATCGGTCACTATCTGACGGTCTATTAGTATCTCTTTATCTTACGATATTATACACTAATTTTGACTCTTTGCCATCGGTGATAATTGATTTGCATAATGAATTTTGTCTGAAGTTAATTGTAGTTAGTTTCCCTAAAAATTTTCTATACAGTTGTTATATGTATAAATTATTAGAAATTGGGGGATTTTAATTAATTTGGAATAATTATGAAATATTTAATATTAATTGATGGATTGTAAAGTGACCAAGACGTAAAATAAAATAGAAAAATAATATCTTGAAGCCACAATATTAATACATAAACTATTTTATGACATATATGACTTACAGAATTTATTTTTTTATTTATAATATTAGTTTTCTAAGTAGAGGTTGGAATATTAATAAATAATTCTTTTTTACTTTTATTTTAATAGTTAAAACTATGGATTTTTACAAAAATTTTTCAAACGCGTTTTTATTATTCTATTGAAAAAAATGTTTCAGTAAGGGAAATCGTGGTTTTTCCTTTCTTCCTAGATGTCAAAGTTCCTTGATTGTTTGTTTTAATTTGTAATTGCCTCATGGAATATTATATTACCCTATTACAATAATCATTTTTCACCCCTATTTTATCTCGTTAATACTTTTACTTTGCATTTATATTTATTTTAGGCTATTTTTGTTTACCATTATGATAGCGGTGAGAAACATTGTAGTATCATTAATGTCAAATTTCTTCACTTTGTTTAATTATTTACTGGTCTCTACTTTGTTAATCAACTAGTCAGCTACTTTTTACTTCTTTTTAATTTTCCTTGTTGCCCTTGTTGCAGGCTGTTGTACTTGTACTAACCTATTTTTACCTAGTTATCCATTACAATCTCTCAATATTCTTCAATTGAGTTTTATTATTTTATATAAAGAAATAACTTTTATTTGTAAAACAATATTTTATCAATTTTCAAAAATTTTATTCTTATAATTTCCTAATCATATGTGTAAGCACCATTTTTATATCCACTATCTTGTTCATCTTAATTTCAGACCTAGTTAAGTCAAATCACACACGGTGTTGAGTACCTACTT